AGTAAACACAACCAACGCTTAGAGTTTTCACGGGGAGTGCGCTGCGACTGTTGAGAGAGACCACAGGGCATTCCCAGCAGATCTTATTGTTTTTTGAATAACAGTTTAAGTCCCAGGTCGTTGCTGGCAGTCTTCTTTGCAGGCTGGATGGTCCACCGTTCAGGAGCGGGCACTGCCTTCAGACGGGAGTGATGAATCCAGTTCTTGTGTCCCTTGACCTTTGCTGCTGTGTGGGAGACCAGCAGGACTGTGTGGGGTCCCTTCCACTTCTCTTGGAGAGGCTCATCCTTCCAGGTCCGAATGAGAACAGAGTCACCTGGCTGCAGGGAGTGGACAGGGGCATCCAGCGGGAGAGGCTGCAAATTTCTGGTATACCTGTGGAGAGAACAGAGAACAGCAGACAGAGAGCATATATACTGAGATAAAAAGCCACAGCCTACCTCCCACTCCCCTGCCAGAACCGGTGTACCTTTTATAGGCCATGCCCTTCCAAACATAATCTCGAAGGGACTGAGTCCTAATCTGCCCTTAGGGAGAGCGCGAACTCGGAGCAAAACAAGGGGCAAAGCATCAGGCCATCGTAGGGAAGCCTCTCTGCCAGCGTGGGTGGTCTGATGTAGTTTCTGTAGCACTAGCCGTATTAGATTCTTTGGTAGGAGGATTTTTCCTTTCATGGAGTGGAGCCATCCCTCCTTTGTCCATTTGTAACAGTACTACTGCCGTCGGTGTACCACTTATAAGCAGCATTCGGGAGGGGTTGATCTTTTAAATACGGGCGGCTGGAGTATTGGGCATCTATGACCTCCAAATAGTCGTGTTCCTGCTCCTCTGTCTCCGGTAGCAGAGTGGCTGGGTTAAGGGAGGGACAGGTTTGTAGGGTAACTTCAGGATTTTCTAAAAGTTTAGCCTGATACTGAGCTACCCGAGCCTGTGTAAGCCAGAGACCACCCTTAGTATCCAGCAGGGCTTGGACCATGAGGGGAGTATACACTTGCACAGCTCCTCCCAGTGTTAGTTTTTCAGCTTCCCCAAGCACTAGGGCAGTTGCTGCGACCGCCCGTAAACATGCCGGCCACCCCTTGGCAACTTGATCCAGTTGTTTAGAGAAATATGCCACGGGATGTTTTCAGGTGCCTAATAACTGAGTAAGCACTCCCAGGGCCACCCCTTTCCTTTCATGCACATACAGTTGGAATGGCTTAGCTAGGTCCGGCAGACCCAGGGCTGCTAGGGTCTTTGGGTAGCACTTCTTTTATCTGTGAGAAAAGAAACCTAACGCATTTCATTAATGCCTGGCAGTATTTTGCAGATTTCATAGTTGCTTGGGCACATTCAGCCCCCCCTTTTCTTGGCTGTCAGCCAAGTCTTAGCTGTCAGCCAAGTCTTAGCTGTGAACAATGTCCTTGGATGGGGCCAGCATTTTATTTTTGGACTGAGCTTGCTAGCTATATTTTTTAGTTAACTCATTTTGTTTTGTTTTGTTTTGGCTTTTTTAACCTACAAAGGAAACTTTCACTTTTTATTTATACACTTTTTTTAAACAATGAACACATACACATTGCCATTATACACCCTTTTAGTAAAATAACTTTTATACAGAGCTTTGGAGCAACAAACCAGGACGAGCACACCCACTTTTGAGGATTCCACTCAGTACAACCTCTGGTGTCCAATAGCTTTCCTTCTGAAAACCTTAAATGCCTTGTCGGCTTCTGAGGACCAGTGAAAGGGGTCGTGAGCCGCTCCCTTAATGCATTCATACAAGGGTTTAGCCCACAGTCCAAACTCTGGGATCCATATTTTGCAGAAGCCTGCCATGCCCCAAAATACCCTGAGCTGTTTACGGTTGCTTGGGATAGGAATTTGACAGATAGCGTCCTTCCTTTCATTTGAAAGCTGACGCTCCCCCTGCCTTATGTGAAACCCTAAGTACAGTACTTCTGGGAGGGCGATCTGAGCCTTACTCTGTGCTACCTGATATCCTCAGAGTCCAACGAAGTTCAGGAGGCTCACAGTGGCTTTAAGGCAAGGGATTAGACCCACAGCGGCAATTAACAAGTCATTTACGTATTGCAGGAGGAGGACCCTGTCCTCATTGTCCCACTCCTCCAAGTCTCTGGCCAGGGCCTGGCTGAAAAGGGTGGGGGAATTTTTGAATCCCTGGGCTAGCACTGTCCAGCAAAGCTGCTTTTTAACCCTCCTTTTGTCTTCCCACTTGCTCCACTCTGGGGCTTGCATGGCTGAGGGCTCAATTGCAAGGGTCATTATCCAGGCATTCTCAGGGGGTAAGGTGAGGGTTATTTCATCTTCTTTTACCTCCTTAGATGGTCTCTGCCAAATTGGCTTGATATTGTTCATAAGCTCCCAATCCCAGTATTTTTAACCTTTTTAGTTTCCTTTTCCTCCTCCTCAACAGCAGGGTCCTCATAAGGACATTACAATCATTCCAGTCAGGCTTATGGCTAGCCAGGCACCCTTCAAAGACTGAGATAAACTTGCTTGGGTTCGTGGAGAATTCCCCTGCCTGTGCCTTAAAGGCTGCTAGGTCCACTGGGTTAAAAGGCACATGGGTGTCTACCTGCATAGTAGTGGCCTGATTCCTATCCAAGCCATGTCTGGACACCACGGTCTCGGTGATCAAAGGATAAAATTCCACCGAGGGGGCAATCTCTGGGACCTGAGACACCTTGTCTTTATATGGTGGGAGTGTGATAGCCGGACCTGCCATTACAGCTGGAGGGGGGGGGGTTTCTGGGGACTAACAGTAGCTACTACCAAACCTGTCAGAGTCAAATTACACTTTTGCAAAATATCTGACCTATCTCTTAGCAACATAAACAACTGTACAGACATATGTTCATTCCATTTACCCGTTTGCTGACGAAACAGAAGTAATTGAAGGATCGTGTTATAATTAAGTGATCCTTCCGGTGGCCACCTTTCCTGGTCCTCTAGCTGATATTGAGGCCAGTCTACTGTACAGAATCTTTTCAGTTTACTTTTAACCAACGGATCCGATCCAAACACTTTCCAGTTCACCAGAATGCATTCTAAGGGCATACACCTTGCCCTGCCTGCCATACTCTGTCCCTGCCCCATACCCTAGGGAGACACTGGGCGTCCCCAGG